AGCCTTCGTGCTGGTTAAATGCCATGTGACTTTTCAGCTTTCTGCAGGTGTAATCAGTGGTAGCTGATTAAGCTACATTTCCAGTTGCATCACAGTACTGCAGCAGCAAGCTGTCAGGATGGATCACAGAAGCCAGCCCTCTGGGACCACCTTCTTGCAATCGAAAGTCGCTTGAAGTGTGAAACAAAGAGAAAAGGGTTGTCTTTTGTAAAATTGGTATCAACATGTAGCAAATAAAAATATTTTAGCTCTTATTCTTTATTGAGTTAATCAGAGAATGGGCAGTCGGTTCCACTCAGGGATATTGTATATGCTTTATCCCACTGGGTGTAAGATACTACCTTCTTATAGAGAAGCTATAGTTTAACGTTGTGATGCTATTATATCATATTTAACAAAAAGATGGTTTTTTTGCTAACGTAAAATGAAGACATATCTACTACATACATACATCTCTGTAATTTTCTTGTCCTTCTCTCAACATGTGCAGATAATTTTATATGAAAGACATTCTTTTCTAATCCCACTCTTCTTGTATGCTTACCATAGCAAATGCTGCTCACGTGTAGACTACTATTTTGTCCAGATCTCCTCCTGCATTAAAACACTTACATAATCGTATTGAGAGAAAGCACTTAGAGATCTGTAATCCACTGGTCTTACTGAATGACTTTTTACATAATGAAAATCTGTGAAGGGTAAATATGTTGACTAGGAGATCCATTAGCACTTAAATACAACGTTTTTCTGGAAAATGTATGAAAACAACACAAACCTTATAAAAGAAGGAAAAGAAAGCCCATAACCAATCCTTTCAGACTACAAAAAATAAGCATTTGTTTAATTTTTAATCCGAAAGCTAATGACATCAGTTGCTTAGTCTGTTTTTAAATAATTGCATTCACGCAAAAAATATTTTCATATTTACGTGAAGAACTTTGACACTAATTTTATTTCATATTCATAATGCTGAATTTTGATGTTACATTGTTTGCGACAAGACGGATCACTTTAATTATGGTTCTGTGTTCATTTTGTTAGTAAACTAAACAACAGCATAGTGAGTTTTTATGCTGACAGACTGGAAATCCTGGAATAAAATTACAAATTGCTGCATTTAACAGACTTGGTTCTGATAGTTTGATACAACTGTTGATTGTTGTTGCTATCAATACCACAGTACCAAATTTCACACTCCTTAGGTTGTGTGTATCTTTTGCTAAAGTAAATGCAAGCTTTGCTGGCTGAAAGGGGGCAGAGTTTGCATCCTAACACAGTAAGGATCCAATACGTTTGTCTAGTCTAATATGTTCTCTAGTTTTCAATTGCCCAAGCCAGTGGTTCCGTACTTTACTCAACAACATTGAACAAGCAGCCCCGAAGGCAACATCATCCCTGTTATCCTAAATGTTATTGTAGCTGTTTCCTAAGGCAGAGATTTCTTGACTTTTCAGACTGCTGATTCACTTGCAGTATAAATTAAGATATATCACTATATTCAACTTTAGGAGCTTGAGACGGGTATAAAGGAAACTGTAATGAGAAGGCTTAGCATGATACTTTTATTCCTGTGGTTGAAATCGGAACTTCTTGTTTAGAAGAGCTTACTGACAAGCTGTATTAATGTTCCAGTTTTTGTTTGGTTTTAATTGCTGCTGCAAGCCAACCAGTAAGGTACAAGAACGTACTTTAAGTTAAATAAATAGTGCCAGTAACAAGTTTGAATTATTCAAAGTGTAGAAAATACCACCCATGCACAGGCAAAACCAGTGTAATTCAAGTCAGGAATAAGTTTTTAGTATACCGCAAATGTAATGTGTGTATCCTGTGAATAAAAACAAAAGAACTGAAGTAGAACAATATTGAAATTAAGCAATGACCATCTTCTTTTGTACTGACAACACAATAACATTCTCATTCACCGATCAGCATGAGAGTATTTGCATTTTCATCATGTTATTTAAATATCGAGTATTTTGACGTTTGACTTCCCATTTTTCACTTTAAATAAAACATTTCCAGTCTCCTTCCAGTTGCACTCCAGTCAGAAAAAAAAATGAAGACTGCAAATCTACAACATCTCTTTATTTCTTACTCTAAAAGAAGCATCAGTACTTTTGGGCAATGATGGTTTCATGTAGTCGATTTTGTGTGCTGTTGTGCCTGAACTCTGTCACATTGAGTGTACACTCATATCAAGTGTAGATTAATGGTAGGAGCATTATCCATTTAGATGGTGCCAACCCTCTGCTAGAATTCTACTTAATCTTTTAATTTCAGATAGCCTAAATAGAAGATGATACAGATTTTTAGGAACAAACTAATGATGAATAAATCTGCAGCCAGCTTTGTCTTAAGATTTGAAAATACATTCTTTTTCCAAGGTCCAATCCTTTAAATACTAATTGTGTGAATATTCGTAATGAAGCAAGACTTACATAATTATAGGCAACTTATATGGATTCTTTGAATCCTGTATTCAAAAATCTAAATTCCAAAAAATGCAATGGACTGAAAATTTACAATTTACCAACTCACTGAGACTTGCTTTTGAAGATGAGATTACCTATACTTCAAAATTCTTCTACGCAACTAACTGTGGATAAACAGTATACCCACTTCAGGATACCAAGATACAGGATAATGAGTGCTGTAGGTGTTACCATTTACTTATCCATCAGAAAACAGACTTGCATTACTTGGGTTTTCAGAACATGTGGTTAAATGATCTGATTTCAAAAGGAACATGGAGTTTTTAAGCAGCACAGAATAGAGTTCAACTTCTTATCCACCTTCCTGTGAACTAAGTAAAAGCAGAGTGCGAAGAGCGAAAATACCCGTAGCACTTTAGTGACTAGTGGTGGCAATCCAAATATGTACATTCTCCTGCAGCTTTTGCTGCATTTTCCATAAATATGTTTATTCCATATGCTTGTGAAGGAGATCTTCTCATTTAAATCAACACACAGCAATTACACCTTGTCTAGACAGACTGAAACAGTAGCACCAATAAATACAGGCTTGACTTTGTTAGAAAGCTGCCGGGGATCTCTACGAACCTAGATTAACTATGTATAAACTGCATCCTATGCAATGAGTGAAATACAATACAAAGGAATGTATTCACAAAACCGTGAATTCCCATGGGAATGGAGCCGGATTGGATCAGCGTGCAGAACTCACATTATCCTACAACGTAATGATAGTCTATAATATTTCATTCAGGCCTCCTCCTATTTTTCCTAATCTACCTTTTTTTTTTTCTTATCTACAAGTGACCCAATTCAAATTTGTCACATGCTTTTTCTCCCCAGATTCAGTTCTCTCAAGTTTTAAATAATAAACTGCTGCAATTTTCCAAAGTATGTTTAGTTCTTAACTCGAAAATATTAGTGGTTTATGAGGGCCGTCAACATAATTTTATTTAACAAGCATAAAGACTATTGCCTAGTAACTTCACAAAACATGTCTGCTTGTTACTTTTTGACAATGCGTCCACAATAATCAATGTAGAAAAATAATAACTTATTAAAACCCCAGTATTACAAGGTCTTTATATTTGCCTGTGGAGTGCCTCATACACCTATGGCACTACACAGTATGTACCAAGCATTCTTGATGGATAGTGTGTGTTCACAGTAACAGAAGACATTTCTGTCAGTTACATAATAAATACTATAATACATAAGTCCTTTTACAAAACATATTAGAGCATCTCTGCAAAGTTCATGTCTGTCCCCCCAGTGTTACATTTAAATGTTGACAATTTTATAGGGAAGCAATGGAAAGTTTTATGCTGCTCTTGCATTTACCTCCCAAAATTGCAGTGTATCACTTGGACCAATCCTACAGGCATCTTGCTTCCCAAATGATTAATCAGACATGAATGAGATATGAGACACATTTTTTAGCTTTGTCTGGATTTCTGCGAAGAATTCAGGAGCGTGCAGAAATGTACATATACAGGCATCAATCCCTGCCTGTCAACATGAGAGGGGATCTCTTTTTGGATTATTAGAAAGGTCTGCTTTAACTCAGCATCGTTTTTGTTTGCCGCAATCTGTTTTCAAAAATTACTGCTTCTGCTCTGGGTAGATTCATTGCTCCTATTTTCATAGTTAACTGTAAAGTGCAACTGTTTGCTTCTACAGAAAGAAAAATTTGAACCAGTGGCAAGAATTGGCTTTTCTGCAGGGGAAGACAAAATTGTGGTAAATGTGGATGAGAACCACGAGGCTCGCTAGTATTTTTCTGAATATGCAACTCTCCCTTTTTTCTCTCTGGATTTGGAAAGCTATTAGTCATTCATGTATGCTCTGCCAACCTCTGCCAACTAGATTCTGTACAATCTAGTCTAAATCAACAAACAGTATTTGGTATCAAACATTGCTTGTTCTGTTTTCTCCATCCTCCTCCACACCTCCCCCTTCCCCAACCATTAACTTATCTAAAATAGAGGTTGTTTACATTCTTTTATTGGGCATTTCATCCCTCCCCTTTTCCTCCACTGAAATAACATTTTGTGTATTGATGAAAAACCCCGACGTATTCTATTCACTTTGTCAGACGAAACACCTGTGATAGCCTCCAAATTTGTGTTACTCTCAAATACTGTAAACAGTGACCAGCAGCAAACACCAGAGCCTACTCAAGAACAAAAAACACAGGCTTCTGAGAATACTGATCTATTAATAGCAGACAAATCCCTGTTATAGCCAGTAGCAATAATACCCTGATACTTCATAGTTAACCGTTACAAGTCCAGCAAATGAAGACATCCTATTCTGCAGGCTGATTTGCATCTCTTTTCTTCAGAAAGCAAGAAGAAACAAACAGCGCATTTTAGGATATTGAGAGGCAAAAGTTTTGCTTTGCTTTTTCAAGTGCTAGGTTTAAATTCTCAGCTCATCCAAGCGATCCGTTCTGAAATTAAAGGTGAGGCGTGAAACACTCCAGAGACAGACCGGAGGGGCGTCGCTCTTGTCAGAGCCCGCACCGCCCTAAGAGAGTTTTACCACACACACTGCCAGGACAATAGCGATAATGAGCACAGCAGAGAAAATGATCCCAGCTAGGACCTTGCTGATATCGCAGAAGGATTTATTTTCCTCCACAGAGATCATGCCAATAGAAGAAGCGCCCACACTGATGGTAGATTTTAGTTCAGCCCCTGGGTCTTGCTTAGCCTCTACTGTCCACTGGGGGACATTGACCTTCATTTCCATCTCGTACATCATCTCTCCTACCTGGTTGATTTCGTTCTCGAGGTCTTTCAAATCCACCACGTCTATATTGTGCTCAGCCTCGTATTTCATGTTCTGGACGCTCATCGCCCTGGCGGCCACGCCAGAGGTTCCCCCGCTCATGCCTGTCTGGATCAGGTGCTTTTTGGGAACATTTAGCGGGAACTCGTGGCCCAGCTCCAGGGCTCTCCTCATGTCGATCTCCAGGATCTCTAGGCACGTGGAGAAAATCACCCACAGCCTCTCGAACTCGGCTTTATCTTCCTTGCTCACGGTTTTGTCCTTCAGGACCGTGGTGAGCTTGTTCCTGTTGGCCACCGCCAGCTCCTGGGCTTTCTGCCGGGTTTTCTTCAGCTCCTCCCGCAGGTTCTGGGAGTCCGAGGTGCCGCCGATGGTCAGCACCATGTGCCGGTAGCAGGCGGTCACCTTGTTGAGCGCGTCCAGCAGCGCTTTGCACTCCTCCTTCACCATGATCCCGGCTACCCGCTGCCGGGGCGCTGCCGAGG